ATACTGCATGCATGACCTTTTAGAGAAAGTACGTAATTTTGATAGTATATACTGTTTGTAATATTGCGTCGCTCTTGGACACTATTTAGCAGAGGCCTGGCTGCGTGCGCCTGCTGGTGGTTGATGCCTGGGGACTAACGCCCGGGGTTAGCTATCGGCGGGGGAGCGTAGAAACGCCAACGAAGCTGAATCTGATCTTTTGAGTGCACAATTAGGGTGGGACAGCACAACTTATAATTATATACATATATGTATGGGTATAAAATATAACAGCATCAACAACAGCAATATGAAAACAGCAACAGAAGTATTATTTGTAGATGTATAGTATGTCGCTGCATGAAAACTAATAGTATAAACCCCAAGCTGAATCAAATTTAAAAGATAAATCTTACAATAATTGTCTATTGATCGAAAACATTTAATAAAAAGTGCCGCAAAAATACAAAATCTCATAAAATTTTTGAAAAAATATAAAGGTGACATCTCATAGCGTTTGTCTTTTATTTAAATTTTTTATTTCACTTTTACATGATTTTTCGTATTTCGTACGTTTTTGTTACGAAATATAAAAGATCTATGTAAAAGTGAAATAAAAAATTTAAGTATAATACATGCGCTATGTGATGTCACCTTTATATTTTTTCAAAAATTTTATAAGATTTTGTATTTTTTTTAGCACTTAATATTAAATATTTTTGATCAGTAGACAATTTTTGTAAGATTTTCTTTTAAATCTGATTTTACCTAGGGTTTTCACTATTAGTTTTTATGTACCGACATACTATACGTCTACGAATAATATTTTTGTTGCCATTTTGTACTGCTGTTGTTGCCGGTTATATGTTTTTTATACATGCATATACATGTATAAATTTTCATTGTGTTTTTTGAAGCTTTTTGTACTGACACGGTATTTCAGATGTGGTGAACGGGGTCTGCGATCGCTGGGAGCGTTTGTCTTCTGCTGATAGGCTTGCTAGCGCTAACGCCTACCGCAACGAAGCCATTGCCATCAAGTATTTCCTAATTGTCGCTTTTTTCCACCTGGACTTAACGGAGGAAGAATTCACTGATCTTTTCGAAGATCTGGACTACGTACAGGTATGGTTATTTTTCACATGAAAAATGTTTTTTGATAGGATTTGATCAACATTTTTGAATAACCTGTTTGCAATTAGTACGTGCTGATAAAACGTTTTAAATTAAGCGCTCGAAATATTTTTTAAAGTAACCGTGGGCAGATGGCTAATTAATCAAAATACATGAGATAAACACTGTAACGTTTTGTAGAACGAAACGTACTGGATCAAGGTGGCTGATCGTCCAAGTCTGTACATGCAGATCTTCGATGTGGAGACCTTTACCGCCAATATGGTGTTCAAGCTGTACGACGACTGGGAACTGCTGACGCCAACAGAAAGAGTTGCATCTGTCTCCCACTTCCATAACGAGGTTGTTTTGGCCAAAAACTTCCTGATTGTAGCCTTCTTCTACTTTGAAATGACGGAGACGGAGTTCACGGAGCTCATGGAATCTTTGGATTACGTCCAGGTTAATTTACTATAATAACTTTGTCGGTTTTATAAATTTTTACATCTCTGTACGTAGTGTAACATTCATATTATTAGTTTATGTATTTGATCTTATACTAAACAGTTTGGATAAAGATTGATTTTGAGGAAACGGTTCGTTCTAATAATTTTGTTAAAACATAAATAATATTTTTAATAGAATGAGGTGTACTTCGTCGAAATGATCGATGCGGCTGCAACCACTCGGTTTTCCCCTGAGTTGTCTTCCGATTCGGTCGATTCCTCAGAGGATGAAGACTCAGCTTCCGAGTCTGAATCCGAAGAGGAGGAGTCTCAAGAAGAAGAAGATGAAGGAGAGGTTTCCGGTCTGGGTTCAGATGGTGAGGTGTTGGAGGAAAGTGAAAGTAACGCTAGTTCCGAAGAAGAAACTGATGGGTCGGTGGATGATGAAGAATACGAGAGCGGGGAAGAAGAAGAAGGGGAATACGAAAATCCATACATCGACTACGAGGCTGTGGAAGTACGATGCAAGGAAGGACGTCCCCACGATGATTCGGATGATGATTTGGAGGCTTATGGCCCTGCATTTAAGCGCCCACGTTGCGAATAGCTCACCGAATTGTTCTTGCGTTGCATGGAAGTTGCTGGTAGTATTTTGTAAGCAGTATTAGCAGTGTTATTTTTAGCAGTTTTTTGGTAGCTTTGTTAGTAGAATGTTGCTAAAAAAAATTTTCGAATACTTCTTTATAACTCAATAACGTAATTTTGAATACTTCTTTGTTACTCAATAAATCATGTTTTTTACATATTTCTGCTTATATCGGAAAAAATGCTTAGCAGTTCCACCTGCTGTTTTCGCTGAACAATCAACGAGACTCACAAGGCCAGCTTTTTATTAACCATTAAAATCGATAAAGAAAATCACTTATGACATCATCACGAAATTAGATGATTAACAATGCCCTCAGTACCGTTTCAACTTTAAGCCAATCAGATCGCTTGAATGTGCAAAAAAAAGGCGGAGTCCGTAATTATTTTTGACCAATACAAACCGAACAAGAAAGAGGAGGGGTAAACACCTTTTTTCACCAATGTCGTGTACTTAGGAGGCGTACCGTGTTGTATATTTTAGCCAATAAGAGCATCTCTGTTTGAAGTGCATATTCGTAGGTAAAAATAAACGGTATATAAATGAGACGCCTCACAGTATTTTTCTCAGTTGATTAAAATGGCTGCAGAAGTCGAACCGCTGCCCGATCTGACGGGTCTGTTCAAGCTTGTAAAGGATAGCGAGCGTAGTATCAAGAAGTTTAATAGTACAGAACAGCGATACAGTGTGGAGATTGCATCTCTACCGAGACTATTTTCCCGTGATGAGACGATGAGTATTATGCCGGAGATTTTGCGATGTATCATGGATCTCTGCTTGCAAGATTTCAATGATTCCGATCGTGTTATTGTTTCTCTAGATTCATCAGAACTCGATCGCGCTATTTATCTTTCTATGCGTAAATTGTCTGATTTTAACATTCAAAGTTTTCTGCATCGCATCGAACTATTAAATTCACAAAAAAAGTTAGTCGTGGACGAGTCTTTTAGCATTCGGATTTTCCGCACGCCCACGCCAAGCGGGGGTAAGTGGAAACGTAAACACCAACATGTTGCCCGAGACAATAAACGTTTTTTAAAATCACTTGTCACAGTACATGTAGGTCATGACCTTTGTTTAGCAGCTGCACTTTATCTTGGTAAGTTTCGGTTAACGCATGATACGTCAGGAGTTCATGTTAACCAGTGGAAAAATCTAATTCGTGCAGATCGCAAGCGAAAGCTAGAACAAAGGGCGTGTGAAATATTGCTGGAGTGTGATTTACCTTTTGACCATCAGTGTGACTTGGACGATCTGGTCACTATGCAGGAAAATGCTTTTCCCGCATTCCAAATTAAAGTCATATCGGCCGATCACGGAAACATGGTTATTGCACGCGTACCCGAGCGGAAAGCGGCTGGAATGAAATGTATTTATTTGTTATTAGACGATAAACACTTTGACTTAATTACAACACCTAGTGGTTTTCACTGTTCCAGCTACTTTTGTGAAGAATGCGACCGCCCTTACGCGTCAAAAGAGCGTCACAGATGTGGAGGTAAATGCCGGCTTTGCTATCGTTACATCAGTGAATGTCTACCAACAGCCCCGATGAGGTGTGGAGACTGCTCACGCAACTTTAATAACGCAGAATGCTTTGAAATTCATAAAAAAATTAGGAATAATGGTAAAAATTATTGCCAGCAGTTATTTGTGTGTAAGTTATGCGGGGTCTTTGTGTCACTGCTGCCGAGACCAAACGCGAAGCACAAGTGCGGGGAAATGTTTTGCCGGGTCTGCAACGGCTATTTTCAACAAGATTCTCACAAATGCTTTCTTCAACCCTTACCCAAACCCGACCTGTCCAAGAAGTCGCCCTTCATTTTTTTCGATTACGAAACATACAACGACCCAGTTTTGGGTCACCAGCCAGCCTGTATTGTCGCACAGTATGAAGATGGTACGGAGTTTCGCTTTCCTAAGGACGGAGAACCTATGCGTACCAGCGTGGGGACAGAGTTTGGAGAATGGTTATTTTCTGAACAGCATCGAGGTTTCACCATAGTAGCACACAACTTTCGTGGCTACGATGGACACTTTGTACTCAAACACCTTCTAGACAACAAGCTCAAAGGCGTTCAAGTTATTAAACGTGGGTCTCAACTCCTTGAACTGAAGTACCGTTCGCTAAAAATTCGTTCCCGAGACACGCTGAATTTCCTCCCAATGAGGCTGTCGAATATGCCAAAGGCAGTTGGATTATCTCTGGAAATTAAAAAGGTGATTTCCCGCACAAGTTTAACCAACCTGGAAATTGGGACAAAATACATACCTGGCCACCACCGGAAATGTATATGATTGAGGGAATGAAATTTAATGAACGACTGGAGTTCCTTAAATGGCACGCCGAGGCTAAAGCTGCAAGCAATAATATTTTTGACTTTCGCAAAGAGATAATTGCATACTGTTCTAACGACGTTACCGTTTTACGCAAATGCGCAATAAAGTTCATGCACGATTACGAAACGTTAACTTCAATCAATCCACTGGACAGTGTTACGATGCCGGCTGCCTGCTACCGCTTCTTCCGTACCTTTCTTCTTCCACCCAACAAGATTGCTATTTTATCAACGCACGGACCTCATCAGAATCGGCGCACAAGCGTTCAGGCAACCCAGTGGTTGGAGTGGGAAAATTTTACGGGCTCCGGTAGGATTCAGCACGGGCGAAACGGAAAGGAGGTCAAGCTTGGACGATATTTCGTGGATGGAATGGATAATATGACAAGGACAGTTTACGAATATAACGGTTGTGTTTTCCATGGACACCCTAAGTGTACGGATGTGGACGATTTGGTACCGTACTCGAAGAAGACTATGCGACAAGCCTTTGAAGAATTTGAAGATCGTGTGGAATACATTCAAAATCTTGGATATAGTGTTACGGTGATGTGGTCTTGCGAGTGGTTGCAAAAGCGCTTAGACCCTGTTATTGACCAGTTCGTATCATCGCAAAATTATCGCGAGCCACTTAATCCTAGAGCGGCCTTTAAAGGTGGTCGCACTAATGCAAGTCGTCTGCACTACAGCGTAAAAAACGATGAGAAGATTTTGCATTATGATGTCGTAAGCTTGTACCCATGTGTCAACAAAAAGAAGGAATACCCGGTAGGTCATCCTGAAATTATTTTATCGAATTTTTCTGATGTTCGACAGTATTACGGTTTAGTGTATTGCAAAGTTTTGCCGCCGGATGAGTGTCTGTTTCCGGTACTACCTAGCACAATTAAAGGTAAACTGATTTTTACATTGTGCCGAGCTTGTGCTACTGCCAAGGCGACTACATTCTGTAAGCACAGCGATGAAGAACGTTGCTTAGAGGGTGTGTGGGTAACTGTTGAACTGCACCACGCCCTGGATGTGGGTTACAAGGTCATAACCGTATATGAGGTATGGCACTGGGATACCAAAGAAGCCGGGCTGTTTGCCAAATATATGGACCTCTTTTTGAAGGTCAAAATGGAAGCTAGCGGTTGGCCAAATTGGTGCAACACACCGGAAAAGCGTGCGGCCTTTGTCCAGCTTGTCAAGGAGCGAGAAGGTATTGATTTGGACCCGGATGCCATGAACTTTGACGCTGGTCAAAAAACCGCGGCCAAGGTCGCTTTAAATGGTTTGTGGGGAAAAACAGCCCAAAAAGATGATGACTGCAGTACGGAATTCGTACACAATCCAAAGAGGTACGTCGATCTGTGTCGGTCTAAAGCTGTTGAAATTCATGATGTATTTGCGGTGAACGAAGAATGTCTAATGGTCACGCATGCAAAAGCCGACGAGTATAACGAAGGAAATAACACTACGAACGTAGCTATTGCTGCCTTCACTACAGCCCACGCCAGACTTATTCTACTGGCCCTCATGGAAAAGTTGGGCGAGCGCTTGCTTTACTTCGACACTGATTCGGTAATTTTTGTGCAGCGCCCAGGCGATTGGCTGCCAGAAACAGGTAGTGTATTAGGGGATTGGGACAATCAGCTGGAAGCAGGTGAGAGTCATATCGTGGAATTTGTTTCTTGTGGTCCAAAGGTCTACAGCTACAAAACGGACACTGGACGAACGGAGCTGAAAGTCAAAGGAATGATGCAGAATGGATTTTCCGAAAATATTTTGGACTGGGATGAAATTACCGAAACCTTCAAGAGATCTGGTCGAACACTGGATTTCGACCAATTAAAGCGCATCCTTGACGGCACCGACCCACACGTGCAGATTCTGTACCCGGAATTTATTCGACGCAACGCAAAGACGCAGGAAATTTGTACAGTGAAGTTGTTTAAAAAATTACAGTTGGTGTACGACAAACGTATGCTGTTCCCTGACTTTACTACGTTACCGTTTGGAACAAAACGTAACTAAGCTGAAATGTTTGCTTTTTGGTGGGCAGTATCTCTTATTTTTGTGTTTTATAGAATGAAAAAAAAAGGCTGAAATGCCATAATTTTTAACAGCATTAACTTGAAAGACTTGTGTTCAAGTTGAAGTTGTTGGGAATCATGTGAACAGCTTTGTTTAGAGGCGGCGGCGGCGGGGGTGTTTGGGCACTCACCGGCAGGGCCGGTGAGTGACCAAACACCGATCCATTACTGAATTCGGCATCACTCATCATCAAGTTCAAGACATGTTTAGTGATCTCATTGGATTGAGTCAGGTTAGTTTTTCGGGAAACATGATTGCATATCTCAAGAACATTGAATATTAGTAGTACGGAGATCATAAGACCCCAGAAGATAAGTGTTGCTATTTTTTGGGGTCTATCCATTTTTATTAGTTGCCTTATAAAATTATCGTCTCGTAGCGCAGTGTGCAGGTTAAAGTACTTGTTTATAAATTTTCGAATAAATTTGTCATTCACGCCTTTATGCTTGGTTAAGGCGGACATAACATCTTCATAGGAATACCCTCGACAACGTAGAAGTACGTAAAACATACAGTACTGACCACAGACTGTAGAATCTATGCTTTGTCGCATCGTATTTGACATGGTAATGTAGTCTTGACCTATCCAGTCTTTGATGTGTGGAGAATACTCTGCTGGGTTTCGTCCAAACGAGTCAAAGGCTTCCACTGTACCGGGTTTAGTGCAGTAAAATGCGACCCAGTGCTCTCCCGAGGCAGTGCTAGGTTGCGTATTCACGATGTAGGCACCCGGAAATTCTTTGTCAGGAATTTTATCACAAGGAAAGACTCCAACAAAAATATCACGAACTATTGGATCCCTTCTAAGGGCATTGTCGATTTCTATACTGTTCATGGAGCAAAATCAAACAAAACCTGTCTGTTGTTATTTATTTCGATAACGTTGTCAAAGACTAACATTGCAACACACACCACTCCTTCCTTTAAAGCTTTGGCAAATTTAAAATTAATGTTAAGATTGCCTTGCCTAATTAGAGAAAGAGCCCCGCGGCCAGTATGTCCGCGAGTGAAGTCAAAGCCGTAAATACAAAAGCCACCAGCATTATAATCCGAACGATCAAAGGGTAGCTCGCCCGGACCTTCTCCTAAACGCTCCAGTGTGTCTAAAAGTCCTTCGTAGGCCTCGGCTGTGGCCCCGTTTTCATAATCTAAATTGTATCCTCGAGTGGGAAACAGCTGGCCGTCGATCTCGGCATGGACATAAGACAGGTTAAAATGATCGAAATTAAAGGGAGTTGACTTGTATTCCCCAGCAAAGAACGACTGGGTGATAGGGCTAGGAACATTACCTTTGGGAGCTGTCCAATCACGATATTCGCCCACACGTGTTGTTGCTGACCAGATATCAGAGTACACTGCCGCATCGCAACGCGTTCAACGTGATATTTTGCATTATTGCCAACCAGTTGCTTTGTCATTGCGGCAAGATAATCCGGAGCTGGTTCGTATTTGCGTATACGCAATCGGGGATTCCGAATCGCTACAACTTTAGGTGCTGCCAGGTCGCTATCGGCAATAAACGCTAGATTCTTTCGGTTACGAATCAGTTTGATGCTTAACTCTACGCCTGGTATAAGTGGGCGATCCTGCTGAAACAAGTCGCAGTGCAACTTGCCTGACAACTGGAGTGGCTTCAATGTTTGTATCCACTTTCGCCTTTTTTCAGCACCTTCACTATGGAAAGATGATTTTCCGTCTACTTTCTCTGTGAAAATCGGATCTTTGGACATTTCAGTGTCCATAGCGAACCCACCCAGACTTAGTTGGGTTAGCTGCGCTTGTTTTGTATAACCCAAAAGGCTCTCCAAATAAGCGCGAATGTGATACATCGAGCTACTGTCCGATATACTGCGACCGCCTAGAGTAACACTAACTTGCTCGAAAAGACTGTGTACAATGTTGTTAATAGGGGCCAAACAGTCGCTATCCGTTGGTATGGTTCCAGCTGCATTAGTAACGTGAAGATCGCACGTAAATCGAATATCGGCTAAGCTAACCAATTCCGACTGACATGGAGCTACAGTAAATGAAAAATCATTGGATTCGTCGGTCGTGGCTTGTGAGGGCCCCAAATAATAATCTCTGGTATTCCATCGTTCCGTTAGTGTTGAAGGTAAGTAGAATAAGTGACTCTCTAACAACATTGATGGCTCTGAGCCGTTTTCTATAAGCGCCATTGCTACAGTTTGTCTTTTATCGCGTCAATTGCTCGTTGCTTCTTACTAATGCTGACTATTTTTTTCTTTCGTCCCTTAATGCCTGAGCCGCTTTGTTGACGTATTTTTTCACTGACGTGCTCGACAGCTTTATCGATGGCTGATTCTACCGCTTTCGAGGCAAATGTCTTCATGTGTGGTTGGGCGGTAGCAATCATGTTGTTGATGTGAGGTGCAGCCTTACTAAACAACCCCGCGCAAATCCTATGATGCGACCCCAAAAGCTGCCACCCGTCATTGGTGCACCGCGGTAAACGGGCATTCCGTAACCGTGCTGACGATTGAATATTTGAATGTAGCGAGATTCATCGAATTTAAGTTCTTGGAGTACCATTTTTAGTGTTTTTTCAGTCGGAAGTGTAGTTTGATTATTGCAGTACCTGGATGGAAAAACACTTCATTACCTAAATCATCGCATACTTTAATTTCAACTGTTTGGAACGTATGACGGGCTATAGGTACGTAGTGAGGGCTTTCAAAACGGATGCACGTTTCTTCAAACGAGCTCGCTTGCGTTGATATCGTGCGCAACAAAGGAACCATAGCATCCCCCACTAGACCGTATTCAATGATGTCACAGTAGACGTGTACAATGCGATTATGTTTCCCCGGGTGGAGGACATAAGTAGGGCTATCACTGCCCGTATAACTGTAGTCTTGCAGCAAACCTAAAGCACGGGTATACTCTGCACCGTGGAACGTCAGGGTGGTGTCTGGTCTGATACTTAGTTCAGAGGAGTTACCACTGACTACGATATGACCATATAAAACTGGTTCATCATCCGTCGCGCCATCACGCAAAAGCACATTAACAGCGTGTATTAACCGGTTTTCGTCCGGATATGCTTTTTCACTTAAAAAACGAGTCTCCCGAGTGGGATAATTAGTTCGCGCAATACCAACCACTAAGCCGCTATTAAATTTTAACTGCATAGGAGGAAGTATTAATTCTGATAACGCAACTTCCCAGGTACCGTCCAGATCCACTGCCCTGGCTAATAAAGTTGTGAAATGTCCGGGACAGTTTTTGGATACAAATCACGAGACGCCGAAGATGGCAGTGTCAAGTAAAAACTCATTTTAATTCGTTTGCGTTTTCCCAAGAGTCATACGCGGGGCCGTAGCCATACCAACGTACCAGATATTGTTTTTTACCCTTGTGTGTGCGCTCCCTTAATATCCTAGAAATGCGATGGTATGGCCTCTCAGTCATTACAAATTTTGACAGTTCGGAAGCATAGAAGTGTCCGTCGATTGCTTCACCAGCTAGGTCTTCGATAGCATACAAAAAATGGCTTTTATGTTTTAAAACTCTGACTACTTTAAAAATTTCTTCCGTGTAATTTGTTTCGTAACCTTTTTCGAACGTGTTTTTCTTTTGGCAATTCGCACATGGTCGCCAGCTGTAAATGCGGGCCCCTTTGATTTCTTTTGTTCGCTGAGCATACGTTCAAGGATAGAGTTGCTCTCGTTTACTCCAACGTTTTCTGGAGCATAACCGGTTGAAGAATGCACAGTGCTATTATACCCTTGCATTATCTGTGGCAAAACGTCTATGTATCGATATGTGTTTTTTCAGTCATGTATACGTACATACGGTTTTTAATGGTACGGTTGAGTCGTTCTACCATTGCGCATTTTACATCATCATTTCGAGTAGTAAAAAAGGTTACATTACATTCTTTAAAAAATGCACGCATTTCTCTTCCAACAAATTCTTTACCGTTATCACTTTGACAGCGCAGTGGCGGACTGCATTGTTTGTAAATTGTGCTGAGCGCTGCAGCAATTTCTGGCGGCTTTTTTGACTTCACTGGCTCCGCCCAACCATATCTGGAGAAACAATCAACACACGTCAGCACGTAATTAAAACCATCGTTTTCTTTACGAAACTTTTGCATATCCATCAAGTCAATTTGGTGTTGGTCTCCTACATTTACTGATATAATTTTTCTTCGTTTAAACTTTGAGCGGTATGCTTTATGTTGTGTATACGCGTCCTTAGACTGTAAGTATTGTTCAACTTGCTGACGTGTATAATTATGTTTTGAGCTTCTTTAAACAGACGCTCAACTCCTCCAAGGCTACCGGGGTTCCCGGCATCCAGGTAAATTTCATCTAGTGTTACCATTTTAAGCAAAGTTTAACCACCCTCCAGTTTGTGTTGTACGCTGTTTTTTTACGTGGTGGCCCGTAGAACTTTGTTGGGGCTCTAGCGATTCTCCGCCTATATGTGTTGGTTTCTTGTTCTTCATCCTTTTGCTACTTAACTGAACATTATTTTTGTTTTCGCAGGCTGTGGGTTGTATGTTATAGCTTTTCTATGCGCTGCTTCAATTGGCATGGGTGCCGACGGGCCCGTTAGCCCCGGAACAGTTAAGGCATTTTCAACAGACAGTTGCGTAGACGTCGGCAACAGAGCAGTTTTATCGCGAGTCTTACGACGCACCGCGGTTTTAATTGGAGCCAACGCCTTACCTAAAACCTGTAAGCTGGTGGAAGGTCCTCGATGGCTAGTCGCGTACCAGCATACGGTAACGCTGAATTTTTACGTGTACTTCGTCGCAGTGAGACTTTATTTGGTTGATAATTAAGTGCCTTTGCATTTATATTTGACGGCAGTGCTGGATTTTCATGGGGTTCGTAATCCAGAACTCCGTCAGGAGGAAACTCAACAATTGGTGGTTCTTGCGGTGCATCTTGTATGCTTGGTGGTGTCGGTGCAAACTCTATAGTTGGCGCCTGGTTCTTCTTCGGCATGGTGTTACGGGAAGTTTTTGGAACACCACGCTTTTTGAGTTATTGGTGGGACTTTTGGGGATTTGTATACGTGTTTGACTAAAGTTTTCGAAGGGGTTGGAACATAGTGGACAACAGGTTCGCTCGGCACGGTTGTAGGAACATAGTGCACGATTGGGTCCGCGGGCACTTGTACGTAATGCACCAACGGCTCGGACTGTACGTACTCAATTTGGGGTGACGAATTTGCTTGAATTTGCTGGTCATTTGTTGCTGTACTAACCTGGATACCACGGCTCTCAAGCAAAGGTCCGGTTTGAAAAAATGCATCTTGCATTAGCGGCTTTGCCTCAACGTATTTTGACACGGTTGCTGGCTTATGCAAAGTTCCGATGGCAAGGTATTGCTTTCTATGGTATAGTTTGGTGTCTCGCTAACCGGCAGGCGCGTAACCGGACGTTGGTTCTCCAAGGCGGCTCGCACCATTAGCTGCTGATTCATGTTATCGCTAATTTCTTGGGCCCTTTTCCAAGTAGATGTTGGACCTGACCTATTTTTGCCACTTACGAATTCTGATTCCGGTACTAACACGTAAGTCTTCATTTTGTTAGGAACGATGTTAAAAGAGTTCCCAAAACTGGTAGAAGAACTCCTAAAAATCCACCTTTTGCTGTAAAAGCTTTTTCTTTTTTCACGCGTTAAATTCCGATCAGCTAGTCGCTTTATTTTTCCAACATGAGCACGTGCTTTCGCTAAATGTGTTTTACTTAACCCCTTTGGTTGCTTAATAAGGTTCAAGCAGGCTTCTTCAATTGCAGCGACCTGTTTAGTAGTAGAAAATTGAAAAACGCTCTCTGCTGTCTGGGTGTCATCAAACGTAGAGCGTCGATTAGCTTGAGAATTTCTTCTGGCTTCATTTTTCTACATAGATTCTTCGGTAGCCAAAAATATTCGATTGTAAGCGGGCCTTGTCGGGGTTTCCGGACGTAAGTTAATTAATAAGTATCCAAACGGTTCCTTTATAGCCTTTTATAAGCTTCTGGCAAGTGTGGCATGCCCAGCTGATGCGCTAGCGTTTTTATTTGCTGTGTGTCGCGAACAGATTTAAATACGACCATATATTGTGAGTTGAGAGAAATATCACGCATGTTCTTTCCTTGCTTGAAAAGGTTTTGTGAGATGAAAACAACAGAAACGTTTTTGTGGTGAACATCACGGGTAAATAACGCGGATGCCTTAGTAGCAGATGCTATTTCCTCCATTAAATCATCCAAAATTAGCAGCGTTGTATCACCTTTTCTGAAAAAGCTTTCGTCATTAATAATGGAATCAATGCCTTGTACAAGTTCAATAGATTCGTCAAAAGTTGAAAAGGTTTCTTGCCACGTACCGTACGCGTAAACAATACGAGTAGGGACGGGAGTGAAACTTTGTGAAACGTTTTTCAAGAGTTGCAACGTAAACGTTGATTTCCCAGACATTGTTGGTCCTGAAATGTAAATTGTGCAAGGAGTTTTAAAACGAAAATCAAAAGTGATTTTTCCATTTCTAAAACCTCAGATAATTCGACCTTAAGCCGCTAGTTCAGCACACCTGTAAAATCCGCAAAATTCCGAAAATTTTCCGTTGAAAAGTCTAAAATTTTACGATTACTGGGAGTTTTGGTTAATTAACTGCAGGAGGTTTTTATCGCTTCTGCAACTGCCTGCACCTGTACAACGGATGTACATCCTAAAAGAACGCAGTTACCCGTATGAAACACGTTAACTGTGGCTCCTAAATACTTAAATTTAATCTGAACTGCTGGAAATAGTTCAGGCTCAAAAAATGCCTTACTTACTTCCGGTATTGTTCTGCTTTTATTGTATAAATTGGCAAGATTGACTTTTGTACTATGACGGTAAGTGCTTACGATATTTGCTATACTACGTACCTTAATCTCCAAAGTAAAATCATGCAGAAGTAACATCAGCTTATAAAGAGCAGCAGTTGCTCCGCTTCATCAACTGACTTACCGCCGTTTATGATGGCCTTGCCGTTCGCAAACAGTTGACAGAATGTGTTACCATTCAAGCGAAGGTTAACGGCGTTAAAGTTTTTCATCTTAGTAGCATCGTTCCCGAAAACACGGGTTATCGCGTCCAAGTCGATCCTTCTGTCAAACCTGACGGACAAAATAACGTTGTGTATCTCCATGGCTGAACACATAATCGCGACAGAATGAGCACGAATTCTTTATATACGTTTCTTACTCAGTCTGTCGCGAATAGAGGCATTAGCCCTTTTTTATCCTATTTAATTTTCTTTTGCTACCTAAAAGTATCCCAGACAAAGCTGTAGATTGTCATTAGTAAAAGACCAAAAACATAGTAAATCGAAATAGTGCATTATGTTACACAAGTCAAATGCTGTTAGCCTACGTATCCATGGACACTCCTCAGGACCCCAGAAGCTGTCCTGTACAATGCGAGCTACATCCAAAAATCCTCGGTATGGAATCTGTAAAGAGCGCCCGGGTTGTGAAAAGCGGATCATCCGCCCATATTTAGGATGGATACTGAGAAGTACATCCATACAAGCAGGTCCGGCAAGAGTGACCTTTTCCGCAGATTTGCTTGTGATTGCCTTGTCCATCGCTGCTTGGATAGTTCCCGCTTTCAACTTATTCAGGACGTCCGAAATTTCACTACATCCCAGACGCACTCCTTTCCGGAACGCCTCTTCATGATCTTTGTAACCGTCTGTTTCCTGATCAAAAGCTAGAACAAGACTGACCTTTTTCGTGTTCCAAAACATACTTACCACATTGTTGACCTTATAGATGATGTATCCGTTCAGCTCTCCCAAAATCTCCAAAGTGCGTGCAAAATCCATTTTTGATTGCAAAAGCGACTAACAAGTAGCAAACAATTTTTCTTACGGAACTGAAAAGCAACTGACAATTCAAGGTTTACCCGCTAGCCTTTTATATCCTCACGACTACAGCGACTGCAAAGTGTTGGATTTTGATTCGCATAAAATCCCTCCAAAACTCCGCCTTTTATGGAAAGCAATGGTTTCCATTGGTCAAACTTTTCCCAACACAAGACTGTAGCGATTGGCTGAAAATCGATAATTTTGCTCCGCCTTTTTTCCCCTGCAAGCCTTGTTAGAAGGTGTAAAGGCGGAGACTTGGGAAGCTTCGTCCTTATTGGTATTATATATAAACTACGATGGTCAAGCAAAATTTAGATTTCGGTTTTAGAAACTGGCTTTTATTGATTCAGTTTTTTGTCATTAAACAGCAAAATGGACATGCGTAATGTGATCCATCGTCTGGCTACGTTTAAACACACCAATTGGGACAATAGTTTACTTCCACCGACGTACTTGGCCTTAGCCGGAATGTTTTATCGTGGAACCGGGGATGAAGTTCAGTGCGCATATTGTGACGGTATTATGTCCGGATGGGGTAAAATCCGAAGCCCAAGGCGGCATCATCAATTACTGTTTCCAAACTGTCCAATGTCAAAGAGAACACCTGAACCCATTACTGCGGAAGGAGAAGACGTCGTGGAGGTGTGGGCGTCAGCGCCAGTTGCTATTCCGGGGACCTATAGCTACGCTGTGCGCTTTCCAGACATGATGGATTACAAGGCTCGTTTTTCTACATTTGCCGAGTGGCCTGAATCAAAAGCTCAGCATCCCAGGGTCATGGCCCAAGCCGGTTGGTTTTATAACGGGAACGGTGATTGCGTCCAGTGCTTTCACTGCGGACGAGAGCTTGAAAGATGGGTTCCCACCGATGGAGCATGGGAAGAGCACGCCAGAGCGTCGCCCATATGTCCATTTGTCATAGCACAAAAAGGAGAACAGTATGTCTACGACGTTCAGACCAAGCAAGCAAAGGAATCAGCGCAGATCTGTGACAAGGTATCTCAAGCGTATGCGGCTAGGAAAAGAGAAAATAACCCCCTGGAGAAAGTGCAATGTAAGGTCTGCTTAGACAATGAAGTCCAAGTTGTATTCCGCCCATGTAATCATCTGGCCTGCTGCAATAACTGTTCAGATAGATTGATACAGTGTCCTGTTTGCAGAACTGTGGTGATTCAAAAAATCCGAGTTTTTTTGTGTTAGTGTAAAGTTTCACCTATTATTCGTGAAAAAACAAAAAACCAAAAAATCACAAATCGTCAAAAATACCGATTGCAGTATTGCAGTGCTACGGCTACTTTTGGAAAATGATAAACAACTGTTTCACTTGTTACTTTAAAGCTTAACAAAAAAACAAAAAAAGTGATAAACTCAAAAAAATGATGCATGTTATGTTGGCAAAAACAAAAAAGGGGAGAAAAAGGGAGGGGAAAATTTAATCAAAGAAAGGGGTGAAATGGGTGGGGAAAATTTAAACAAACAAATGGGGTACACCGGGTTGGACGATGTATCGTAAATCAATAACATAAGGTGGTGTTGTGACGCCGAATTGTTTGTGTTAAATGCACGTCGTATGCAGTATGTTTGTAAACAAGATGTTTATTGTTTGTTTGGCCATCAGTTGTTTGTTTGGTGACCATTTCAACGCTTCTTTTCTTCTAACGTACCGTGATGGGTCCGCTAGTCGTCGGCGAACCCTGCTGGGAACGGCAGGCAAGTGCTTGGACCGATCAAACAAAGCGTTGCGCGCGGACGATGATGCACGATAACCGCTGCGTTGGTTTCCGCCGGGGTGTGGACCCAGACTGTCGAAAATCGGCGGGCGGGCGGGGGAGCGGCTGCGAGACGACGAGCGGCTCCTGGAACTGCTGCTCTTACCTCTGCGTCTACGGTGCGCGCGTCCGCTGCTTTCACGACTGCGATGCACATCCCTCTTTCCATCCGGATGAGACTCAATCTGGATAACGGATGCAGTAGCTGGAGAAATTGGCCGGGGAACCCCGAGCTCCCTGGTTGCCAGCGGCGTGACAATATCCAGGAGCTGCTGAATTTGTCGCTGTTGTTGGTCTTGTCGCACCATCACAGTCTGCAAATCGGGGGCTGGAGGATCCACCACTACAACTTTTGACCTGACTGTAGGAGCGGGGGACTGGGATCTTACGCGTTTTCGACTGGTACGCGGTCTGGCTTGTGGAGCCCGGCCTCCTCTGGTGCTGCCGCTAGAACGCGTCTTTCTTGGGCTCGGGTTGCGATTAGGCTTGTTCTTCGGTGGCATTGTGCAGAAATGCTTTTAGGCACCGTTAATTACTCAGGAAACGAAGGGTGATGCTAGGGGATTTCAGGTCTAGAACTCTTCATTCAAAACGCAACAGCATAAAAATTGCAACAAACACGAATGCGTTAGACAGTGAGCTACAGCGCACGAGAAGCAAGATGCACACGGCACCACGATGCCGATGCCGGGATGAACAGGGAAACAGCTGTACAGGGATACCGAAATTGCGCCAATTTAACATCAGCTAAGTGAACTTAACTATCATTTTAATTCAGGACTACATTCGACCAGAAAGGTCCTACATATACCACACAAAATGGTAATGCGAGGTAATGGTAATAATGGTTGTAAGACGTGGTGGCAAAAGCCACACATGCGTGTGTGTATACAGTCAAATATTATGGTCACAAAATAAATTCAGAACATATTAGCAAGAAATTTTGAAACGGCAAAGCGTTGACGGTAATTTATTTTCAACGGTTAATTAACGGTAAAGGTTTTTCGAACGACGTTTTTCGACGGTAAATTAGGACGGTAAAGGTATTCACGGCGGCAAAGGCAAAGGTCAAGGTAAACTTAAAAAAGGTAAAGTGAAAAGGCAAAGGCAAAGGGGCGGCCAAGGTAAAGTAGGCCGACCCTCATTATTATTGTAGTCACCAGTCAGACATCACACGCTATTCACTTCGAACCTAAAATTAATGTCCTGCGTTCAACCATCTTGTTATGTAGACGACACGATGATACTCACAACTGCCAACAAATTACGAATAATTTTATTAGTTGTAGATTCCGGAACTTTGTTGATTCTTTTCTGTGTTTGTATTCACGCATAAGTTCTGCTCGTTTCTGAACATACTAATTTTGTACTGAAATTTACAATCATGTGCGGCTTTCTTTGTGAAAGTATTTAATCTCTACCGACCAAGAAAAGTCTAACTACAGAACTTTGGAATCTTCTTGATCGGAGCGATTACTATACTGATTCCAGAGTCGTGCGATTAAAAATTTTTGATAAGCTCAATAACTGGCACACTAGAAAATTGGTGAAACGTACTTTCTAAGCGTAGTTTATTTTCATGGATGTCATGAATAAGCGGAACGTGGACTGATACTGTTTTATACTGTAGATACTTTTAGGGACGCATTTCGGGGTGCTGTGATGACCGATTAAAAGCATGTATGAGCAACAAACCCCAGAATACCCAATGCGTTTTCTGGCGCTTGTTCAATTTAAAGAAGGCTGATAGAGCACGAGTTTCCGCTTTTCCTCAGGTGAAGCCGGCGTCGGCGAGGCCACACAGATTGCTGGAAGGGTCAAATTTTGGACACATTTTCATCTGAAAGACTACCTGGCCGACCTGATTCCCTGATCCCCTTTGCTTCATACAACAGTGTGCTACAGTCCAAAGGGAATGGCCAATACATCCTTCGAAGAAGCGAAACTGGTGTTTGTGGGCGCTAGATGCGGCGGCTAGCAGTAGCGACCAGGGATGGTGTAAAACCTGGCGCTGGCAAGTGCCTCTGGCGTTGCCACTGGCATGGCAAGGAATAAAACCTGGTATGTTATCCCTCTGGCACGCAATAAAATATGGCATATGCCAGAAAACACGAGGCACAGCGGTTAATAAATAAATAGAAAATATTGACAGTGCTTCCATTGTACAAGTTGCAAAAATTAATAAATTGCGATGGTATCAGTTGCATTAATAGGTGCTAATACTTAAACCCGTACGTGAACAAGAGTTGCAAGACCTTACTAATGTTCACGAATTACACCAACCGGCATGAATAGCTCGATCAGCAATTAATACGTAATGGTGCTGCAAAAAGAATGAATTCGAAAATTGTGCACGCCGATTCACGAAGTACTGAATCCGCGTTTCGATTTGCAATCATTCGGCATGGACGGTGTAAAACTTAAAAGCAATTCGCATATACTGGGATGCCAATGATGTCGCTAATTACGAAATTTGAATGATGATGACAACTAAAAGTTAACTTTATTTTTACAGGTCTGTTTAGTGTAAAATAACCGATTAACGGGTGATTTTCGGATTTTCATTGATCACATCACAGTCTTTCGGTGTCTTTTTTTTATCACATCACAGTGATTGCCTATTGCCGGGATATTTACCTGCATTTTTTAATTAAGCAATTGTAACGCCCATTGGTGTTTGGGCGCAACAGGGTCTTCGAAATGGTTTTCTTAATGAACAACAGCAATTAATCGATATCTGATAGAGTAATTAGCGTAACGAGACCTTACAGCAGCAATAACAAAAGAAACCAAACTGGGATCTCAAGTCCCTCAAGAACCACAAGGTCGCGAAAGTCGCTAATTTCGAACTTTCTGACCTCCCGAAGGTCCTGCTAATTAACTAATTAGCAACTGAGTCAATTAATCTGAGATAATTCAGTAATGTACTATCAGTTATGTTTTATTAGAAAATAACAAGCATCGGTTCTGAAAGTTAAACACTGGATGGCCACAGTCCATCAAAAACTCGTGTTGCGTGCAGACACCATTGGGCATGTAGTGTCCTGAAGTACGGGCGGGCGCAATTTCGACACTTTTATAATTATGTAAATCGCATAAGATCTTGTTGGCTCGGACTTCTAACATGCTCCACGCGGTTTTTCTTGCCGCAACTCTTCCAAAAACGATTTAGTTGAGCGGCACCCGGGGCGGTCGGCTATGGCCCTCAAACGAACGAATCGGTGGTCGTTTCTGGACAACGAAACCTTCAAGATAACCGAGCGTGGAAACCATGTTTCGTAATCGGGAGTAGTGCATTACCTCTGTAATCGGCATGACAACACTGCAGCCTGCCGTGCGCCTCTTGCGATTTACTGCATTTTTATTCACTTATTTTTATTTACATATTTTCTTTACATTTTATTTTTATTCACTATTTACTGGTCTCCTGTAGCCACAGATGATAACAAATCCAATATACACATGACCGGTAGAGAGTGACCTTTAATCCAGGTGTATTAGTAACATTCGGCCGATGCTGCGTTCATGGCGGCTACTGTTGCTTCCAGAACTACTGATGCGAACTTCGGCGCATCACAACCGCACGTGCTACTAGACCGTCATCGCTGATTTCCAATCCAAACGCAGCGGCTGCTTCCATGAAAATTGCAAGCATGCACCATGCATGCTGTGTAAAGGCAGCTCGGCGCGGCATAAAGGCTGTTACGCGATGTGTTAAACGAAGCGTAATGCAATTTTGAGAACTGGATTGTTGAAAATCGCTCGATTTGTTGTGTTCAGTTATCCACCAGTTACTACAACATGCAAAAACCGTTTCTTTTATTTTCCAGTTTTTGCTGACCAGTGGTCAATTTACTGACCACTGCAACACCCTTGTTTTGGAGCCCTCTTTCTGCTCTATACGATAAACGTCTGTGTTTTAGTCAGCTGTTGTTCGCAGAATTATTATAGAATTAAACGTTTTCATGACTAGGACCGTCTGCGCCCAATGGTGTTGCTAAACACCCATGTCGTTGCCGGTGACCTATGGTCAGTAAAATCACACAAAAAATTCCCTTTCTTGATTCAATTTTTTCATCGGGAATTCCCAGTTTTGAAGTAAAAACTTGCACCCCTTCGGGTAGTGGGCGTTGGAGGGTGTTTGGATTTTTGCATTACTGTAATGCAAAAATCCCCATCGCCTAATGGACACCGGTTGGCGCCCAGACAAAGTTCGCTGCAATAATGACGAGTAGTAAAAACGTTTATTTTAGCATCGGGCTTATTCCGCACTGTCTGTGCCTTACGCGATGGTACAGGTCACGGTAAAAATTACAGCCACACAAACATTTCCAGTTTTCCACACAAAGCAGATCAAAATGACGCCGCTCTTAACACAATTGCTTAATTAAAAAATGCAGGTAAATATCCCGGCAATAGGCAATCACTGTGATGTGATAAAAAAAAGACACCGAAAGACTGTGATGTGATCAATGAAAATCCGAAAATCACCCGTTAATCGGTTATTCTACACTAAACAGACCTGTAAAAATAAAGTTAACTTTTAGTTGTCATCATCATTCAAATTTCGTAATTAGCGACATCATTGGCATCCCAGTATATGCGAATTGCTTTTAAGTTTTAACTGTACTTGTTCAAATGAGCACTTAAATTTCAATAAATGTTGTATGAATGTTTACATGTGCAGGCTTACTACAACCGGCACAAAGTGAAATGGCACTCATCGAAAACAGAAAATATCGACCTAAATGCAACGCTTATGCATTGTTGTCTTTGACTGCATATGTTAAACTTGACATGACTGATAATTAAAGGTTTGGGGTATCTGTTGTTTGGAAAACTGAATATTATGCAATGATAAGAACAGTTGCTTGCAGAAAAGCAGTTGGCACATGTACTTGTATTATGAGTGTGTGCATATATTTTTGGAATTTGTATAAGGCGCCTCTTTTTTCGTGCAGCGATGCAGTTTCGCAACATCATCGACCATCTCTTTCGCCGGACCAAAGTTCATTGCACATAGAGACACAACATTATTTTGGTAGTTGGTAGTTATTGCCAACTAACTACGAACAACTACTAACTACGACTAACTGTGAGATATACAATATGGATCACACAGCTTCGAACGCTTACCCAGTGGTCATCCAAAATGTCCATTATCGGTGCATTTCCAAGCGTTACTTTTTTTCGACACATTAACGCACACACAATCAATAATGTTTCGGAACGTACAACTAATAAAATTGTTCGTATATATAACATGGATTAAAATATTGATAAGTAAACTTCCCCTATAAAGTAAACTGTATTGTAAGAAACTGCCCCTATTTTTGCTTCGGTTATTCCATTAAGCAATTTTTAAACTTGCACATCGTATATTTTTAATCGATACGGTTAGAAAATTTTGCAAGGAAGTGGCTTGAAATCGGCTAACAGTCGCATTTCCAAAAGTTTTTAGCAAAACTTTTTATATTGCAAATTGCAATGTACTGCGCCCTGCCCATCGGTCATCGGTACATAAAACTCGCGTGATTTTGTTGTCGTACTATCTTTAAAGATTTCTTAATAATGGCTCGATGATCCTGTCACCCGGTTCTACGGCAAGCAATTTTTTGACGTGCTTTGGACATCGTCGGAGCACAACACGCCGTCTTTAGAATAGCATGTTTCAGTATACTTATGGAGCCCCTTTTTATGTACATTTTACGTCTAAAATACATGGTCTACGGAACTATATTATGGCTTTTTGAAACTCAAAAAGCACCCATCCAAAGGACATCTTTTGGATGAAGAAGACATGGACACTTTTTTCTCGAATAGAACCGGGTCATGGCAGACATACGGTATTCATAAACTTCCGTTTATGTGTATAAGTAGATTTTCTACATTAATAATCGAAATGGCTACGCGCAAGAGCCTCCCGCGCTATGAGTTTTGGCTACGCGCGAGAGTATCTCGCGCTATGAGCATTGACTACGCGCGAGAGTTTTTTCCCGCACAAAAAAACTACCAAAAAACAGTTTAAATCAGTGTGTTTATAACCACATGGCAACCAATAATTACGGAAGGTCACCTTTTAGTGCACGAAATACAAAATCTGACCGTACCGGCATTTTACATTTTCTGATAATTCAAGTATTCTCAACTATCAGCCGTTATGGCGTCAGAACTTAAAGTGGGAAATCGTTATGAATCCTACGCGGAGGTTTTGAGAGCGGTGGAGCAATGGAGCCAGCGAACACACCAAGTCTTTATAAATCCCGGTGGCAAAGCGAAAACGTCAAAGACGCATCATTACACGTTCCCCTACAGCTCAGTGAAGCCGGTCTGCAAAAAAAGCTGGCGCTTACCGCCCACACCGGCGGAATTCAGCCCCCACGAAGAAAAGCATGACGACGACTCTGAAAAGTGACTGTCAGGCGCTGGTCCGTCTTAAGCTTGTAAACGGCATTGATGGAGGTTATTCACCTGCCGGCTTAAGAAGACCATAACCATGAAGTCACGGAAACGATCGCCCAACATACCCCACAGTCCGCCGCGTCCAGGAGAAACGCCCGCTATGCGTGCGGTTCGGATACTTGCTACCCATGTGGAAGGTCAGAATGAAGTCGCACACCGATTCGGTGAAGAATTAGTGGTCCTTCGAGAGGATATCAACAATCTGAAAACAAACGGCTCGGATCTGGAGCTGAGACTCCTTAACGCAGGAGTCTATCTGCTGCGCAATGCGTTTCCCCAGAAAGGAGGGTTAGAACTTCCTGCAGAGTTGGTTCTGTGCCAACAGAACGACCAGTGCTTCGCAAGGCCACGTTTCCACATGCGGATGCATGGAGGAAGCATTGTGCAGCCCATGTTTAACGGCGTAAACCACTACGTTTGCGCGCTGTACAACTGTGACATCCCTGGTGTCGCCCGGATCTATTGTTCGACGGGTCAACTGCCCACAGACTGACTGAAGCTGCAGTTACACTTCCTGTTTGTCCATCCGGACAGCAAGGGTCAGATCAGCATCGAGTACATCCCGGTCTATGGACAATCCTCTGGAGGAAATAAATGCCTAATATATTCGTTTGCCTTTGCGTATGACCTGTTATTGGGCAAGCAGATTCAAAACGCCAACTACGCCAGGGAGGACGAACTGCGCCACTGGTTTTTATCCATCATTGAAACCGGCACATTGCCGCCTCCTCCAAGATCGCAGGGCCGTAATCCTCGAACGAAAACCATGGTGAAAGATCATAACTGCACAGTGATAGTAGCAGATACGGTGGAAATACGCCGGCGGTTGCATCTGCCCAGTGGATACAGAACAGTTTCGCTGTGAAAATTGCTCACATACTGAATGATACAATAACTGTTCTGTTTCTAACTTCATCACCTTAAGAAATGATAAACTTGACGTACCTGGACGTGTGTTCAAAAAATGATACAAAAAAACCGTACAATTCCCAGTTCATGCCATAACTGGCGGGCGAAAATATTCCGTAAGATATTCTCGCGCGGTTTTTTTTCTCTTAAACGTTTTGTTCGTAGTTTTCTTGTGCGGGGAAAAACTCTCGCGCGTAGTCAGTACTCATAGCGCGAGATACTCTCGCGCGTAGCCAAAACTCATAGCGCGAAAGTATTCTCGCGCGTAGACATGTCACCCGTGCGTACGAAAGAAAAACGCCCTCCCACTTAGTTTATCACTCCGGGGCGTCAAATAAATTTCGGCGCACTCTAAATCGTCGTTTTTTGTCGTGAAAAATTCAGTGTTCACAAATCAATCCGAAAACCGGCATTTCGTGTTGCCGCCTGTTGCGAGCAAAAAATTGTAACAAAAACAGCGAAAAACGAAGTACATAGATAAACAACTGTATTCTTACAGTAAGCCCTCAAGATTCGCTGCCCAAAAAGCTCAATCTGCGCATGCACCGTGCCAACTAACATTTTTCTGTTGGAAGTAGCCGCCATTTTCTTGCTAAGCCAGTTAAAGATATTCGAGCATGACGTACGTAATAGAATTGCGAAGAGATTCGACTCCATCGAGCTGGGACACAATAATTATTTACACAATTTCAATTCGCATTACTTTTATCAAGCACGGCTTTTTTCTGAAACAAGGTTTATTGTTTTGGTTAGTCACAAAGACTGTCTATCGAAGGAGCCTGAACAATTCGCGATGCGATAAGTGATTCACGAGAAATAAACCGAAAATGGAGGGTGGGATTTCGTTCAGCCACCCGTTCAAGTTACTTTCCTTAATCGGCTTAATTATAAAACAACATCTACAGACCCATGATTTCAGTTTCTCTTCTTTACACGTCCAAAACTTAACACCGCCGCCCGCTTGCCCTAAGGGCGGTTACGACCTTATACTAGTTGTATTAAAATTGCTGCAGTGATCGGCCGTATAAGTCACCGTACTGTATAATTATGAATGAGTTATGACCTTAATATACAGGTGCAGTGTGTGTACGAAGGGAGAGCTCGTACCATCAGCGTTCCACCCCAGTAAGAAAATCGTCGACACGGAGATCAGCCGTACTCGGACATCACTATTTTGCCGGTCGTTAGAGATCGACTTGAACAAGTGCATTATCAGCACACGAGAAATGTCTTGAAAATTCAGTTTTAGCAATGCTTCTATTACGTATTTGCCGGGACGAATAACCAACCGTACGATGTATGGTACAAGATCATTTTTATATTTAGCTTTGAAAGTCGCTATTTTTTATTTTAGCAGTTTATCAGTGAGTTCCTTTCTCTCGGAAATCACATTCGCACTGCGTACAGCACTGTCATTTTCGTCTTTTATTGGGATATGTGAAAACATTGTCCTCTTTAATATTACTAAATTGTAATAATCCATTAGTGTGCGGTAAAGCTATCTACGAGAAACCAAAGCTCAAACATTGTACTGAAAGTTATGGTTTTAATAATTCAGGTTTTCCGGCATATGCCATATTTTTTTGCGTGCCAGAGGGATAACATACCAGGTTCTCCCTTGCCATGCCAGTGGCAACGCCAAAGGCACTTGCCAGCGCCAGGTTTTACACCCTGCCGTAGCGGCAGCGACCACCAGGACAACCAGCACAATGTTATCAGTCCGTCCAATACGCAGATGCAAAAGACTGCCAAGAGCAACAGCACTATGATTCTCTTCATCGACACACCGGGCGCTAGAGACAAGGGCGGCGATGCGGATAAGTAAGATTTCAGACCAACTTCCGAAAATCTGGCGGTTCTGGTCCTTAGTCGGTTTTACGGTAGTGCTGCGACTGTCGCATTAGCTATGCAACCAGACTATCTGCGCATTTTCTACGTTGCTCAATACAATTATGTGTGAAGTGACCGCGGTTTGTGTTTTCCGATAGAGCACAGACACTTGGACTTGCAAGTCTTGGTTGGATTTAAAAATCTGTAAGTACAGGCTGTACTCTGTACAAATACCACACTCTATAAACTAAACATGATAATACAGATGGTTTTATAAATGACGTTTTCTTGATATTATCGTGGAATCGGAGGAAACACAAGTTCGATACGCATAGGACCAAGCCCCGATATTTAGTTTCAGACAAGAAAAAGCCACTGGAATGTCTCGTACAAACTATCTATGGTTACTGGACTGCTATCACATTTTCCCGAAAAAAAGCCGTGTTATGCGTAAGTCGGGCTATGCGTAACAACACCTCCAACCAAAATCCCAAAATATTCGCCAGTAAAAGAATAAAATCAAAGAAAACTGACTATTCCTGTGTACAAAATAACTGCACTTTGATACAGCTGCAGACAACGTATGTACATGCAGTTGCCGAGCCGCTAGCTAAATGGTTGCTCCGGTTACGTGACGTTAAGATACGCTTCCTGGACGATCCATTCATCAAGGCGATCGTTGATGCGGAACCAACATTCGTAGCGGCCGATGTGTCCCCTTGTGACGCTAGCGATTTTCAGGGCGGAATAGCATCGAAACTCTTCATCCATGCCAAACTCAAAGCGTCCATTGAAACCATCAGGCCACCGGAACTTATCGGCGACCTCCGGGATGGCCCTTGCCATCAGGAGACGGCTTCCCTTGCGCCAAATGAAGCGGTCGGTGAGGTATCCGGGGAGGAAATTGAAACGGACCGGACACAACATCTCCGCTGGGTCGCCGTAGCGGACGGAAATATTTTTCATGGATGGATTAAAAACATCGTGGCGAAAGAGGGTCGCGCTGACCCAGTAGCGCTGTGTCACCACTAGCTGGCTCCCATTAGAGTGCAGGCACTCGTACAGTCCGGTGAAAGCGTGCGAGAAGTTTTTCAACGCGATGGCGAACGCACCGGTGGCCAAATCGTACTGAGGCACTACAAATGTGCGCCACAACACATGATCCCCGGGATTAAGTTTTTTCGTGCAGTTGCAGCAGTAATTCACTTCTCCGCGAGGTCCTATGATTTCGCGGCCAGGCGAGACAGCCCACTGAAATCCGTTGAAAGTGAATGCCGGTGGAATCTGGTTGTGGGAAACCTGCACGTAAAGCCGACAATTAATACAATGGCTGTTTTGTGCCTGCAATATCTTAGGAATATTAGGGTAGGGCAAGTAAAATCTGATATAAATACGGACACAAGACCACAGAGGGCAGTTAAGTCGTCTGTCAAGACTAGAAAATGCATCAACGAACGATTTTTAAAAGGAGACACGCTGTTTCACTCGTTTAGCGACAGAATAAAGCAAAACTCTACCACAAGGTCCTCAGACATTATCCGTTCCTGGCTTTTTGGTTGTTCCAGAGAGTGAATGTCACCTAAAAACGCTGCCCCTCCTGATTATTATCAGCGCCCTCGAGTTTACTGCTATTTTCAACAGCAAACGTAACACTAGTTTTTTTTTCACTAAAATCTCTTGCCTCAATCTGATGCTGCACTGGCAAATCCAGATCCACCTGGTCTTAATGTCCCTTACAAACCTGCGTATTGTTGGTGTTGTGGCTGTTGTTGCAGGGAATCCACAGTGTGCCGCCCTCTGGCGCTCGTATGATCTCCGTCTGCGGCGGCCATTCCGCAATATTAAATCTCGGATTCTTGGGCCCGCGTCCATAGCCACGCATATTGATGGTGTCGTTACCGTTGCGTTGCTTGGTTTCGTCCATGATCTGGCTCACTACAACGAGAAATCAGTTGAGTTGCGAATAACGCATTGATGGGTGTTGAGCTGGCCACTGGCTAGCAAGCCCATAACCCGTCGATTAACAGGCAACCGTGTATGGTGCTCTAGCTGTTCCTGGTTAGTGCTGCAAATTGCAATCTTCCACGGTTGCCTGTTAAGTGAATCGCTGATGGACCTGCTCACGGTAGCCAGTGGCTAGCCACCAGCCAGCCGACCTCGTTACAACGCAGCCTTCACCGGCTCAACTACAGAGCTCCTCGTGCAAAAAGGACAGATAGCTCCTCGTATGATTAAAAGTATAAAACGAAAAACGGTGGGAAACATTTAACTTGCTTTTCAATAATTTAACGAAGCAATCTTAAATTCTTAATTAATTACGCCGAACTATACACAATCACCACAATCACACGGGATGGTAAAAAGTGTAAAACGAGCGCAACAGAAGACAAGAACATTTTCGTTGCGCCCCCAAGGCACCACACATGGCATAAGTTCGCACTATCGCACTACACTCACCTCCATGCAATACGAATACATAAAAATGGATGATTCTACGTAGAAAAACAATTTCTAGAAATAATATAAAAACCAAACCTTTTCCTTGGACCAACGCACAGTACTGAAGCAAAACCGGTACAGTTATCGCCAGTAACCAAGCGGCATCTCTGGCGGCTGCGGAGCTTTTTTCGATTTTCATCCATCAGCTTACTCAATATTATCCAAGAAATGATTGCTCTCAACGTTGTTTTGGTTCCGCAATAACTGCTTGTGCCTCCGCCCTGAGCATCTTCCATCCTCCTTGTAATCTGCGATATTGTGGTTAAATTATAATTAGGAATGTTAAGTACAAAAATTTTTGGAAAGAGGAAGACAAAACGTCTTGTCGTTTTTAATTGCGTGGGCTATTTTTAACCTTACGAAGGCCTTGACGGGAACCGTCTCCTTGCAAAGACATTCAACCTCCATTTCTAGTTATCCATTTACTGCGTTCAGTTTCACAGCTGCTCAAAACTCACCTGCAACAGCTTACGGTATTCCACCTGCACTTGCTGCAATTTCTTATAGTCAAAGCAGTACAGTGTTTAAACAATACCAAAGAGCGCAAAAGTGGAACGCCAAAGGGAGTTCCACTTTTGGCATCTTGTAGGTTTACATCGAGTCATCGACCATCGATGTTTTGCGAAAGGGTTATCGCGTTCAAGTTAAAATCACTGAAGTTACGTTAGTCGTACTCACTCGTACGCGGTGCTACGCCGACCAGCACCTATCGCAAAATCTGAAAAGTATTAATTCAATCGAGCGAAGCTAATACACTTGCAGATCACCAGCCAGGTGGTTGGTTGTTCATACTGTGCGGAAGCCGAACTAAAGGGAGCTGGATTTACAAATTTTTCGAAGTATCCATTGTAAAACTAGAAAAGTCAGTTCCTCACCAGACGTTCAGTAAAACTACCCACCCGTCAAGTTGAGACACAGAGAAACTTAAACGAAACGGCCCGGTACATGGTCCCAAATCGTGTACATGGACAAAACTTTCATTTTCGCGCACTCCGAAACACTTCTTTGCTTTGTTTTATCACATTTTTTATCCAGATGCTTTGTATACACATGCATGAAAACCGTTTGTGCGCGCAACATCCGGTTCGGGAGTGATGGCTGTAAGAAAATTTCAAAAACTATAACTGCATTGAGGTGTAACAAAAGTCTCGTTACCAGCCGTTCTATAAATTTTTGATGGAAAAGCACATATGCATGAGAACGGCTTTACTCCGAACCACGGCTCTAGCATTTTTTCAAATTTTCAAATGAATTTTAAAACTGAACCGGATGTTGCGCTCACAAACGTCTTTTATGCCTGTGTATACGGTATATACAAATCATCTGGTTACAGAATGTCATAAAACAAAGCAAAGTGTTTGGGAGCTCGCGAAAGTGAGTTTTCGTGCATGCACACGAATTTTTGGTACCATGTACCGGGCCACTTCCCTTAAGCAAGTGTTCCTTTATGGGGCATAAGCAACTATAGCAAATCAAGACAGTTGTTATGATTGTTCTAGTTCCTCGTACACTGAGCGCAGGGTTCTAGGTAACGGAAAACTGCGTAGTCTATGCTTTGTCTACGAGAAACCAAACACTTACAACTTAGTTTGGCCCACCCTAATTAGTTATGCCTCAGATATGAAAAACTTCCTTAATGTTTCGCGATCACACGAATTTTTGTGAACTGTGATTTTAACTCAAGAGTAGGCAAGGGATTACTGTACTTGGTACTCTATCCCAAGTCTACGAGAAAGAGAAGTGCCCTACGGCGGGAGTGTATCTCAATAAACACGAATTGTTTAGTATCAAAAATCTTGGTATCTTTTTCTGCATCTTTTATGAGAGTCCTCCCATTTCGCAAACCGGACATTTCGGCAACCGTAGCTTTCTTACTTAGGTTTGTTAGGTTTTCTTAGATTTCTTAGGTTATACGTTTCTTAAGTTTCTTATAGGCTTCTGTGTTTTATTTCACCTGAGGTACAACGTAATTGTACAATCGTCAAAAACATCAGCATTTTTACAACATCAAAATTTCATTAAACTTTTCGACTCCTTCCATCGTTCCCATGACTGATGTCGCGTTACCGCGCTGTATCTCCAGTGACAATCTTTGGCGTAAAAATTCATGGGAGCGAGTTTCGCCTGTGTGTTGCTCTAGTCATTTGCCCAGTGCTTTGATAATGGCGATAGCAGACGGTCCCCAAGGGCCCATTGTTTCGAAAGCTATCGGTGCGACGATGAATCTGCCACTTAGATACAAATAAAGCCTGGACTTCTTCTCTTCCGTTTCCGCCGCCGCTGCACCGGCGTTTGCTGTCGTAGACCTGACGTGGGAAGGCGCAACCGTGTCCACACAAGTGACGTCCCACGCTAGGCACATCCCTCTCTGCCAGGCAAAGGTTGTGCAGCCATCGGGGCGTCGTTCGGACGTATGCGACGTGCCACGTGGTTCCAGTTTTGCCGGAATCCCAGCTGAAACAAGTGATCGGCATACGATGCTGTTCAGCGCGCCGT